ATATGATGCTGTGATCAAAACCAATATAAGAATTAGACAACAGAAAAAAAAAATGAAGAACTTAATGCTGAGTAAAATATGAAATGAATTACAAGGCAGTTTCTGGCGGAGAAATGTAATCGATTTGATGCATATTTTTCCACCAATCACTTCCGAGGTTTGTATGGAGCGTAGCTGAGTCAGTCGAAGATTGCCGATTGGCAGGTCGGAGTTTACGGAGAAAACCGAGCGTCTTGGTGATCGAAACTACTACAAGGATCAATGAAATATGAAGAAAATTGTTGGATCTGGCAGATTATGAAATGGATAATCTGTTTTAAAAACATAGATACTCTGACCTCCAAATGCAATAAAATTAGTAATTTGTACGGTACATACAATAATATATATATGAGAATGGAAACCATTTAATAGAAAATACATATCAAAGAAAAGGCGCAAAGATTTACTCGTCACGATTGGCGCAAAATAATGTATCGTGACTCTTCTTTCATAGTAGAAAAATGGTCTGATGCAAAAGTGCAGAAAAAGATTACACGGACACATTTGTTTGAAATACAGGTATATGGAATTGCATGGAATAAAAATGTGAATACAAAAAGAATAAAAGAAGTAAACAGTATCATCAGTTCATCAGTAATAGATTTTTTTGTTATTGTTTAAACTCAAGTAACGAATTCTGATGTGAATCTGCTTGCACAAAATTTGGCTAGCTAGCTCTGATTCTATAATTCCGCACTATATAAAAGAACTTTTAACCTCACTGACGCTCGATACTTCAGGCAATGATACAAAGTAAACATCGATGATGGCTGGTAAAATTACACTGGTGTAGTGGCTTCCAAATTGAATTTTCACGAAGGCGATCTGGGTTTAATCCCGAATTTGTTTGCTTAAATTTACGTTTTCAACTTTATAAATGATGTTGAGTTGTTTTTTTGTTAGAGATGATAGAATATGATTTATAGATTGGCGAAGGGACCTTTTCATGCGTCGTCGTTAGTTCCGGTCGCTTGCAGAAGCGAATTTAAAAAATCGATATTTTTCATTTTCAATATTTTTCTGTAATATCTGTAGGGTTAAGGGAGCCTCTTTTCAAATATACTAAATATACAATTTGTTTTCGAATTGATAAATCCAAACTCTTGATATTCGTCATTTTCACTTTGAAGCGGGAGTTGAAATGGCGTAATGGTTAGCACGTTGGATTTCCACGCTAACGACCAGGGTTAAATCTCCAGAGTGTCTGAAATTTTTTTTTCACTTGAATTTACATTTTTGTTTTCAAAATCGGACGGAAGACCTCTCATTGCTTGCAATGAGTTTCTAGTTATTATTACTATTATATAATGATGATGTGAAGCAGAAAACACTCAAAATTCTTAGTTACTCATGCATTTTATCCTATGTGATTTTAAAATTCATTTTTTCGTTTGAGAAAAAGGTACATCAGAGACATTAATAACAATAAACATGTCTCTACACGTTTGATTTTTTAAAGATTCAGATAAAGTGTTCTGTAATGTGTTTCCTTAATCCACATGGTATCAAATAAGTCAACACGTAAACTGACCGACTGGTGACCAAGTCCACTTAAATCCAATATGTCAACTCATATCCAAATCATAGAAGTCAATTTGTAATAAAAACTTGGTTTAGAGGGGAGAAGTGGTTTTACCCTATCAAACTTTGAATCATGTAACTGCCCTGTGTCTGGTTTATGAGTAGATTGTTCTAAGGTTTTAAACTTACATATAGCATCATTTTTCAAAGGGGAGGGCAGAAAAAGTAACTGACAAGGTACCTTAATAAAATGCTACAAGGAAAAATAATGAAAAAAGAAAGTTGTACCAACTCGAAAAATCCATTTTGGGAAAAGGGATGGGTTCTAGGGCTGGGATGATAGTATTACAATTTTTTTATATTGATACCTATCATGATATTTGAGCCATGAAACGGTATATTGCACAACATTTTGAATTGGTCACAATTTTTTTTTTGTGTATTAGAAAGAACAAAACACTTCTTCACTAATTAAGAATAATTTATTTATAAAAGCTGTATATCCGTCGAGAAACAAACTTATTTCAACAAGTGGTGTAAGTTATTGTGTATTTCACAATATTTACATTTCCAATGTCTCTGTCCGAGATAAAATTACAAATTTTAAAAATACTTTATTTCTACATAAATCTACTGGTTCATCGATAGGCGCGGTTACAAAAAATCACGTGCGGGGCGGGACAAATAGAGACAGAAGCGGGACTATTAGCACGGGAATTTGCAAAATCAGGAGCATGTAAATATAAGGAATAACTGTCAGATTTTTTGGATTCATGACGATGATCAATCGATTGGCTTGCGTGATAATTTTATGCATAAACGCCTTCGGCGTTTATGCAAATTATCACACAAGCCACTCGATTGATCACATCATGAATCCAAAAAATAAGACAGTTATTCCTTAATTAATATTTCTATTTAGCATATTTATCTTGTATATTTATATTAAACCCATAGCCAAAATGCTAAGAAAAATAAGTCTGAAACTTTTTATTGATATTTCTGCATTTCTACTTACGTATTGATAAGCGTATCATCCTCAAACAGAATCAATATTATTGATACATAAATAATTTATTCTCGTTGTAAAGCTGGATTCGATTGATATCGTATAAATTGGGTTTTCTACGTCACAATGACTTGCGTCAAATACGTGTAGATCCGCGTGGCGTTACATTCAAATTTTGTAGAAATTGTAGTAATTTTTTAAGGGTAATCATTTTTTTTTCTTATACCAAATGAATGAACATTAAATCATGAGGAAAGAATTTAATATATATAGCTACCAAATTTATACGGTATAAACTGGGTTGGAACCGTTTACACTTTTTTTATAAACCGCGAAGTGGTTTATAAAGCGTAAACACTCCCAACCCAGTTTATACCATATAAAATGGGTAGCTATTTTATTCACTCCTGAAATAAATCGTCCCAGCCCTCATTTGTTTCAACTAAATTCTACTGGTGTTAAAAAAGAAATTGAAATTAAATGTTGGAAACAATGACCCTTAATTTGACATTAGAAAACAGAACTATGTTCAAAATTACTAATTGAACCCCTTCTTCATTGTCAGATGCAAGTAGTGCCAATTTCTTTCTTATCTTTCAAAAAATTCTAGCCGCATCCGAACTTGTAGTTCTTGAAAATTATAATTTTTAGATACATAAAAAAAGACAATCAAAGGTTACAAGAAGTTTCTATAAAGTCTTATGGATAGTAACTGTTGACATACACGTACTGGGTTCGAGTCATTCAGGTTAAAAGTTGACAAAAAACAATCCACATGCACGTAAAAAAAGACGATCGTACTTCTAGGCATGTTTAACTTTGTAATCTGATGCAGCTACATGATTTTTTTTTCAGATTATGCTGTTGGGGTCTTAAGGAGCAATAAAGAAGAAAAAGAAAGAAAAGTCTGAAGATGTCATCTTCACTGATGAGATAAAAATGGAATTGCATTCCAAGGGTCAGTTGCATTTTAGCAGTGGCTCCTCCACAGCAGATTTTCAGTAAACAAAAAGACTAATGCCAAAGCATTCATACAAGGTTTTTTTGTTATTAAAAGGACTGATCGTCAGATAATAAGCATTACAATTTCCTATTCAAATTTGTATTCCATATATATATGCAATGTACATGTAAATTATATAAATACTGATAAACAAAACTGTACTTAGTACTGTGTATAAGTTTCACATTTGGCATGTTTGATATTTGAATTTTTAACCTTTTTTTTACTTTAATATTTACCGGTAAGCAGTGTGTTTGAAAGTTAAAATAATTCAAGGATGAGTTTCTTAAATAAGTCTCAATTGAAAATAGGAACCCCAAAAGTAAATATGAAATTTATAAACCTTTATTAAGATTACTTTAGGAAGATTTTAGGTTAATGTCTATCCAAGAAGAAAAATTAAACTAATCAGCTGTGAAGAGATTTTGAAATTAAATCATAAAGTAAATATCTTACATTTTTTCAGACCGATGGCATTAAACAATACAATAAGTCCACCAGGGATTGAATGGCAAAAAAAAAAAAAAAAAAGAGAGAGAGAGAATATTTTGAAGAATGATTTAGATATACTGGCATCCTCTCTGGACCTAAATACAATTGAAAACCTTGGCAACTACAAATAGCTGATGTTTGTTTGTTTGTGTGTTGTTTAACGTCCCTCTCGAGAATTTTTCACTCATATGGAGACGCTGACACTTGCCGGTGAAAATACAGTACTTGGCCATAATACAGTACTCAAAATGGCCGCCGTTATAAAAATATACGTGCACAGTTGCAGTTTTGAATGTTGTTCTTTTTAAACTGATATGTAATAAAATTTATCCTATCTTACTAATACTTGATTATGGAACCATTTGCTTTTATTACAGCTTGTAGTCGTGTTGGTATTGATGTGTAAGGTTTTCTAATCGTCTCCAAATCGATAGAGGCCCATATGTCCTTCACAATACGCCATAGGTCTTTGCGTTTTTAAATTTTGTCCAGGCGATTTTCCAGTCTGATCTTAATTGTCCTCCTCACATTTTCAATTATGTTAATGTCTGGTGATTGACTAGGCCAGGTAAGTGTAGGGATTCTGTTTGTTGTTTTCCATTCAACAGTCTGTCTGGACTGGTGCACCGGACAATTATCCTCCTGTAGAATCCATTTACTTGCAGGAAACTCCTTTGCAACAAGAGGCCACAAATTATAATCTAGGACCGAAATATATTTCTCAGAGTTTATATTTCCATCTACTTCAGTCAAAGTTCCTACACCATTAAAAGATAAACAACCCCAGAAGATAACTGATATGCCGGAGTGGGGCGAATGACTGCTATTATACTGTCCAAGACAATCGGGTTGAAATCTTTCTCCAGGTTTTCTCCAGACGTAAATTTATCTGTCCTTTCCTAAAACAACTTTCAACTCATCACTAAAAATAACCTGACTCCATTTTCCTCCACTGTCCACCCTAATTTGGATCGACACCACAAAACACGGTTTTGACGATTTGGTTTCGAGATTGTTATTTTCTTTAAAACGGAGCATCTTTGATATTTCTGTTCTTTTAATCTCCTTCTTACAGTTCTATAAAACACTTTCTGTGGTACAGATTCGTAAAATTTATCAGTTAAATCTGACAGAGTCTGTCGACGATTTTTCTTCACCAACCTAGACAAGACACGATCACCTCTTTCGCCCACCAGTCGATTTCTTCCCTGTCTTTCTCTGTTTTCCATGGAACTCCTTTCAGCATTTCGTCTAACAATCTTCTGTATGGAATTTGGACTTATTCCGATAATTTCCGAATTTTTCCGGCTACTTAAACCACTCTCATTCAATTTGATTATCATCTGCTTTTGCTCGAGTGAAAGGTCTTTTCCCCTCGGAGCCATTTTCATTTACGTATGTTTTGGTACTAAAAATAAATCTGAGGAACTTCCTATGTGTGTGACGTCAGATATGACGCTCATGTATGGTTGTGCGTAGTTGTCATTTTTTTTTTATCATATTACAATCGATAAAATGGAGAGGAAAAACATCGTATGTTAATTTTGATTTTAACGGCGTCCATTTTGCGTACTGTATTATGGCCAGGTACTGTAGTTTACGTAATAGACATATATATTTGGTAGAAAATTATTCTATTAATCAAATCTTTAAAAATAGGATCTTAAAGGGTTTTTATCACGTCTCAAAATTTTTTGATATGACAAAGTTTACATGCTATTAAAATCATATAGTTAAAAATCTTTGCTAGAAAATTAATAGTTTTGATGTTTCAACGACTCAAAGTTTGAATTTCTCAATATGCATATTTTGATCGCCGATGTTACGCGCCATTGCTCTGACGTCATAGGTGCCAATCGAAGTACTTATTGTGTATACAAAAGGGGTCATTTGTTGTGTCTATTAAACCTGTTAGAAAATAATTAAGAGATAACTGGATAATTGACAGCTAGTAAGGTATAATTTATGGCTTTAGGATGCGCAAAGGTGCACAAGAAAGGTTTTAGGAAGATTTATTTCCCCCACATTTTCCTGGAGTTGGTCGAGAGATGAAAGGGGGGCACTTTTCTGCAAATGCAATGGCGTTTACAGTATCTCTGTTCAGAACAATCGTGTATGCCCTATCGATCACGAATTTTTTTCTGTCCTATAAAACATTTTAAGAGAGATACTTAAAAAAAATAATAAATGACAAACACGCATTTTTTAAAAGTCGCTCAGAATCTAGAAGGAATGATGTGAACTTCGTAATGGCGAAATGTCATTTCTAGTACATGTTATTCACTGCTGGAACAGATAGAAGATATATAGGATTTATTCATATATAATTAATTAAAATAATGAAGAAGGAGAATTTAAAATTCCCATATCTATAATTGTTTACGAAGGTAAACCTAAGTAATTCGTTCTATCTCGTCGAAGTTCCGAGTTGTCAACGGCTTCGTTTTCGGTGCCCTCTCCTATTGTAGGCATATTTTCTGGTTATTTCTCTCTGCTAGACGTTCATACGTGAAAGATTGACCGTCCATAACCAAAGTAATATAGTCGATGTCAAAATTTCAACCGGCCATATTCTATTTATTTAGCGTAAAATCTATTCAATATATTTTTTCTTACGATAAGCTTTACGAATTCTATTGACTATTGACACCTATGACGTTTCAGTACCACGTGACCCCTATCTCATTAGTGGAGATTTTTACTTCGAGGACCCTATATTACGGGCGTTTTATCGTCTAATTACGACCGTTTTCAACATAATTTCATAATTAAACGATAATTATATGTTTCAAGAATATAATAGTGTTTCATTTTTAAGAAATGTAGATACGTGATAAAAACCCTTTAACATATATTTTCTTAGAATAAAAAAATCCTCTTCTTGTGTTGAAAATATATAGCATAAAATCCGATGGAATTTACTCTTTTATCATTTTTACACAAGATAGAATTCTATTTTTGTCATCATTTTTTTTTTTACTGAAAATAAAGATAGCGATTCAATACTTCTAGCATTCTGACTTACATATCTTGAACTCTATTTGTGCAAACGGTAGCAAGTTAGTTATGTTAGAAAAAAATGTCACCATGTAATAGGAGTTGTATTAAATACACGTATAAAGGATGTGGTAGGATGCAATAAAGTAAACAAATCTGATAAAACCATTCAACCTGTATGTACTTATATAAAGTCTCAAATGAATTAACATAACTAAAACATTATCAGTAAAATGACCCCATTTTCAAGTCTGATATACGTTGAACTGGAAAAAATTTTGTAACTGATACATGCATTTATTCGTTTTCAGAGAAAGAGAAATTGAAACAGATCCTGGACATGTTAATAGGATAGAAAAAAAAAAACCAAGTTGATGCAAGGTATAAAGATATGTGACATAAATTTTAGGATAACATTTTTTTTTTACATATGTTAATTTGCATCTTTGTCATACACATTTTACAAATATTCTTGAATGTGTTCAAATTTGATAAATTTAACTCTATTTTAAATTAAAAAAAAAAGATTAAAAGTTTTAATACTTGAAGTACATTGCATTTATTTTATCATCGCAAACTACTGCAAAGTACAAAATATGAGGGATCAGTTGTTGATGGCGATAGGTCTATCAAAACAAGATCGAAATGCATAATATGCCCTCTAAATGAACATTATACTATAACTATTACAAAGGACTAGAAGGCGTCGACAGAATACAAGTCTCCAGTAACCCATCATTATTCAATGAAAAAAGATTTGATGCAGAAAAAAATTCCTTTGATAACACATGATGGTACCAAATCTCAGTTTAATCAAAGCAAAAACATCCAGTCAGAGTATTCTTCCAAACTACTCATTACAATTACATTTTCAAAACGTATTTTTAAAGGAGTATCGACTTAACTCAATTTCAAACGTTTTTACATAAATTATACATAAATATGTTCATAGCTTTTTAGAGACAAAAAATCAAAATTTGACATTGAAAGTAATAAAAAAAAAAAAGGTTGAAATGAAGACGAATACACAGATTGGGCATATTTACCATCTTTCAAATGCTGCTGCACAATGCACTGAAAAGGATGGGAAATGTGCAAAAGGGGAAAAGTGTGATGGAAAGGAAGTGGCTGGAATGTGTGGAGGCAGAGAAACTGCTGCATACCACAAAAGTACAAATGACATATTCTTGTTTTTTTTTTTTTTTTTTTTTTTTTTTTTTTTTTTTTTCAAGGAAAATCATAAAGTAGATAAAATATTTGCCGTGGATAGATACTGTTTTGTTTTTTTTTTGTTTTTTTGCTTCTTACTTCGTGTGTTTCAAAACTAAATTATACTTTCAAACAGGCATTATAAAAACCCTCTATAAAAACCTAGGAACTTTATAAAGAATTCTTTAGAGATATTTCATAATTTTACCAATAGAGATTGTAACTCTATTTGCACAAAATGTATGCAGTCAATAATTATTTAACAAATAATAATAGGACTTTGATAAGCTTATACAGTTGTAGATATTTTAAAAAAGCACTTATTTCAGATTTTTTTTTTTCTGAAAACGTTTTTCTTGTGTATGTCTTATTTTGTTGTTTTCATCTTTGAATTGACTAAGGTACTTTTTAAATTTCAGGCAAAGGTATGAAAAAGGGCTCTGGATGTGGTAATGACACTTGATGCAAAATATCTGGATTCTTTTATTTGCCAAAATGGGACTAAAAAAGAATAAAAAAAAATAAATAAACAAAAAACTTGATTGGCTGTTTGAATACTTATAAAAAAGATCTGTAGACAAGTCATTCCAACTAGATCGTACCCAGTTTATCATTCTATCCACCCCTAACAAAAAAAAAAAATTGGTACTATAGTTAACTATAGCTAACTATAGTTTACTATAGCTAACTATAGTACCAAAGTAAAAACTTTGGAACTTTGATTTACTATAGTGAAAACTTTGGAACTTTGATTTACTATAGTAAAAACTTTGGAACTTTGATTTGGAACTTTGATTTACTATAGTAAAAACTTTGGAACTTTGTTTTACTATAGTAAAAACTTTGAAACTTTGATTAAGTACGATAAATCCCGTGGAATCATGTTTTTGATTCCCATTCTTTGCATTTTATGATATTTCAAGTATAAGATTCTTAAAAGCTTTAGAGAACATTTTAAAAACCCGACCCCTCCCCTAAAAGAATAAAAAAAAAATAAAGATATGAATTTTAATGTAACGGTTGTCGCTTGCGCCGATAAAGAAGCAATATTCATTTCAATGTATCTAATTTTAATGTTATGCAGATGTAACGTAAGTCTTATCTATGGAGAAAAAAAATATATATTATATAAAAATTGCGTCATTTAGAATCAAAATATCTGCTTCATCTACTTCTGTCAACATGCATCTTTTTTTTTTAAATTTAAAATGTAAATATTGCATTTGATTTACTTTGTATATTTAAATAAAGATGTACAACAAAAATCAGCCCCAACCAACCCCATATCCACCCCTCCCCTAAAACTGCTAAATAATCCAAAAAAAAAAAAAAAAAAAAAAAATTAATAAAAATACATAAGTTGTTAAACTAATGAAAAAATAAACTTTGAATTTTTGATTAAGTATAGGGAAAACTTTGAAACTTTAATTAACTATAGTAAAAACTTTGGAACTTTGGTTTACTATAGTGAAAACTTTGGAACTTTGATTTACTATAGTGAAAACTTTGGAACTTTGATTTACTATAGTTAACTATAGTAAACTATAGTTAACTATAGTAAACTATAGTATTTTTTGTTAGGGACTGCTCAAATCTATCGACCAGATATACTTTGAGAAGCTTAAATTAAAACAATGCATGACTTAAAGATCCTAATTTAACTAAGTCATGCCGTAAGAAGCGTTCACTTAAAGAAAACATTCTTATTAGGTGTTCATTTTAGTAAATAAAAATCGTTATTGAGCGGTTGATTAATATGTTTCCGGATTTCTGCACCATAAAAATAAAAAGCGAGTCATGTTATTTCACGAAATTACGCGATAATTAATTCCTCGCGTGTACTTAGTAATCTACAATAATGTGTATCTGTAAGGCATCGATTAAAAAAAAAAAAAAACTATAGCGTCCTATATTTTAGTTAACTATACTTTACTGTAGTTTATTATATAGTTAACCATGGTATCAACATTTTTACTCTTATGAATTAAAGGTTTTGCTATTGTAAATCAATTTATTTATCGTATTTTTATATTTCATTTTCCCAAAGTTGTACATGCACTGTTTATACATGAAAAGGAATCAAAATTTGTACATTCACTCATAATGTCTAAAACTCACATCTTACTGTTTGTAAATATATACAATGACATGTATTTTACTAAAGTCTTCCTTTCTGATA